GTAGTAAAGAACTACCACAAACAACCCAAGTTCATTGTCTGATAGTGCTGGAGATCACAAGTTGGCCATGGGTCTCTCTGGACCCAGCTCTAGGTGTCGGCAGGGTTGCATTCCTTTCTGGGTGCTCCAGGGGAGAATGTGTTTCCTTGCTTTTTGCAGCTTCTAGAGGCTGCCTGCCCTTGGCTCCGTTCCTCCATCTTCGAAGCCAGCAAAGGCTGGTCAAGTCTCTCTCTCATCACTCTGACCCTCCTGCCTTCCTCTCTTACTTATAAGGACAATTGTGATTCCATTGGGCCCACCTGAATAATCCCTCCATCTCCAGATCAGCTGATTAACAAACTAAACTCCACCTACCAACTTCATTCCCCCTTGCCATGCCACATGCCATATTCACAGGTTCCAGGGATTAGGATGTGGGCATCTTTAGGGGGCCATTATTACACTTACCACAGGGAGAAGTCAGACTCTCTGGTATAGCTCTGCTCCCACATATCCTATAGCAAGCCCTCTTTGACACTCCAAAGCTTAGTCTGGGGACCCTGCTTGGTGGTCCCAAATGGTTACATCCTCTTCCCCCTGAGTTGTGCTTGTTCACTCATCTGTATCTTTGAGGATAGGAACTGCCTTTTCCACTCTTGATTGTCTGTCTCTTCACTAGAAAGTAAGCAGCACATGGGCAGGGGTCTTTATTAGTTTTATTATAGATAGAAAATAATAAAAGTAAAGGCTTTAACCTTTAGTGTGTATATATTTTTAAATATATAGTATATATATTTAGTGTGTATATATACACAATGAATTGTATATATGTATATACAGTGAATTGTATTTCCATCACCTAGCATGGTCTCTAACACAGAATAGATGCTTGATACTGCTGCTACTATTAATACTGCCAATAATATTTACTGAGCCCTTACTATGTACCAGGATCTGTGCAAAAGGCCTTACATGCATAATCTTATTTAATCCACATAACTCATGAAGAAGGAGCTGTTTTTTTCTTCATCTTATGCAAAAGGAAACTGATGTTTAAAGAAGTTAATTAATTTGTCCAAAATCAGACGACCTAAAAGGAAGTTGAACTTGTATCTAACATCATAACTCTCTGCATTATGTCAAGTGCAGTCAGTCAGACAGAGAAACACAAATACTGCATGATCTTACTTTTATGAATGGAATCCAAAAAATCAAACTCATTGAAACAGAGGTAGAATGGTGGCTGCCAAGGGCTGGGATGGGTGTGATGGGGAAATGAGACGTCTACAGACTCCCAGCTATAAGATGAGTAAGTTCTGGGTATCTCATGTACAACGTGGTGACTGTAGTTAGCAATACTGTATCATACACTTGAAAGTTGCTTAGAGAGTAGATCTTAGATGTTCTCACCACACACACACACACACACACACGCACCCCTATGTGAAGTGACACAGGTGTTGACTAGCATTATTGTTGTAATCATTTTGTAACACATACATGTGCCAAATCGTACATCGTACGATTTAATCGTACACCTTAAATGTATGTACACAATCTTATATATCAATTTTGTCTCAATGAAGCTATAATTTTTTTAAAAATATTGTATTCCTGCAACATTCAAGCTCCTCCTAGTTCTGGTTGCATTGAGAGGCATTGTGTGCCCTTGGGCTTCAGGGACATGCCCTGGTCCTCCAGGTGGAATCTGGGGAGGGAGTGCCAACCTCAGCCCTGTATACAGAAGGCACTCCCTGTTTCCAACAACTTGAAGTTCAAACAGGCAGGGAGGGTGTATTTTCCTAGGGAATGGGAGTCATCTGTTGGCATAAGCGAGGTCCTCATAAGGACTATAGGCACATTTGCCAGAGAAGTGGGAATTCTGCTAAGGAATGATTTGGGGGTTACCTGGGTTGTCTGGGGGCCACTAGGCCAAACCTTCAGGAGTGATGGTAGTAGCTGTTGTCCTAGATCAAGGTCTCATTGTGTGACAGCGTTAGTGCTGCTTTATCAGCCTTCTCTCTTGATCCTGCCTTCCCCACTGAGGGTGTCAGGATCTCATCAGCAAATTACGGGAATTTAGCAGTCGGTGTAAGCCAGTAGCCTGTGGTACTGCCAACTTGGTAGTTAGCCTCGACTGATCCTCTGGACCATCTGTGGACCAGATTGGCTTGGCTACAGAGAGTTCACCTAATATATCCAAGAGGGAATAGCTGGGTTTACTGACAGGTTATAAAAGCATAGGATTTCCTTGGGAAAGTTTGCTGAAGGTAGGGCAGCAGGATGCAAGAAGAAGCGCCACTAATGGGTTTCTTCATTCCCTCATTCAAAAAATGTGCACCTTTGCCAGGCTCTGTGCTAGAGACTGCAGATCGCCCTGGAGGGCAGGAGCAGTGCTGTCAGCAGGCTGCACTATCACTGTGCACCTGGCACGATGGCCAAGTGCATTACAGGCAAAGAAATGAGAATAGGAGATGCAAAGACTGCTTACAGCAGCAAATGCAAAAGGGTATGGGGAAGACCCAGGACTGGAGCTGGGGTAAGCTGCCTGGGCAAACAGCAGAAGCAATAGCAGGAAGGCAGGTGATGAGGGCATGTTCAGGAGACAGTAGGCGGTGAGGCAGGGCTGCACTGGAGTGAGGCGCAGAATGACAAGTCACAACTGGCCCTGGTAGAAGGACTTGGAGAGCAGGCTGAGTTTACATACCATAAAATTCACCCATTTTAAGTGCACAGTTCAATGATTTCTAGTGAATTTACCGAGTTGTGCAACCATCACCACCAGCCAGTTGTAGAACATCCTCATCACTGCACCAAGGTTCCTCATGCCCACTTATGGTGTATGTCCATCTCTACCCCCGGGCAATCACTAGTGCAGTTTGTCTCCGTGGCTTTACTTTTGCAGGAAATTTCATACAATATGTTTTGGCATCTTTCACTGAGCACAGTGTTTCTGAAGTCCATCCATGTTGTAGCTTCTTGGATTTGTATTTTATTCCTTTCTATTGCTGAACAGTGTCCAATTGTACTAATATGCCACCTTTTATTTATATACCGGTTGATGGGCATTTGGGTAGCTCCCACTTTTGGGCTATTATGAATAATGCTGCTGTGAATATTCTTGTGTAGAAGTGTTTGTGCTCTTGGGTAGGTACTCAGGAGAGAAATTGTTGTGTTGTACAATCAATTTCTAGTTAACTTTTAGGGGCTGTATTTAATTATTTTTATTTCTTTTTATAAAGTGGCTTTATTACAATATAATTAGTATGCCATAGAACTTACCTGCTCTATGTGTACAAGTCAGTGAATTCTGGTACATTGACAGAGGTGTACAGTCACCACAGTCTAACTTCAGAACATGTCTCTCATCCTGAGAAGAAACCTTGTGCTCATTCATAATGGCTCTACCTTTCCACTCCCAGCCCTTGGCAACCTCTAATTTACTTTCTGTCTCTACAGATTTGTCTTTTCTAAACATTTCATAGAAATAGGATCATATAATATGTGGTCTTTTGTATATGACTTCTTTCACTGAGCATAATATTTTGAAGGTTCATTCATATTGCACAATATATCAGTACTTCACTCCCTTTCCTGTCAATGAAATCCCGTTGTATAGATAGGCCACAGCTTCTTACTCATTCACCAGTTAATAGATATTTGGACTGGTTCCACTTTTGTCTAGTTGGAATAATATGCTATGGACATTCACAAATTTTTGTGTGGAAAACACAAATTTTGTGTTTTCACTACTTTTAGGTAGCTACCAGGAAGTGAAATTGCTGGGTTATAAAGTAAGTTTATATTTAACCTTTTAAGAAATCGCAAAACTGTTTTCCAAAGTGGCTGTACCATTTACATTCTCACTGGCAATGTATAGGGTGGGCAGAAGTAGATTTACAGCTGTAATACAAATAAATGCCAATAATTAATAAATAAAAAATACAAGAATAAGCTCTGTTTTGTGCACTCACAGCTGTGAACCGCCCTTTGCCTGCCCCTGTATGTGGGTTCCAGTTTCTCTCTATTCTCACCAGCACTTCTTATTGTATCATTTTGCTGATAGCTGTTCTAGTGGACGTGAAGTAATGTCTCATTGTGGTTTTAAGTTGCATTTCCTTAATGACCAGTGATGCTGAACATCTTTAAATGTGCTTATTAACTATTCATATATCTACTCTAATAAATTGTCTATTCAAATATTTTGCTCATTTTTAAATTGGGTTGTCTGTTTTATTGTTGTGTTGTAACGGTTCTTGATGCATTCCGGGTATGTTATCAGACACGTGATTTAAAATTGTTTACCCCCACCCTGTGGCTTCTCTTTTCGTTTTCACAGTGGTATCTGTTGAAAGATTTTTGAGGAGAAACAGGACAAGGCAGAGCTGTGCTTCAGAAAGACAAGGTCATGAGTTGGATTCCGGTCAGGGCACGTGCCTGGGTTGCAGGTCAGTCTAGGATGAGGCGTGAATGAGAGGCAACCAATTGATGTTTCTCCCTCACATTGGTGTTTATCTCCCCCTCTCTTTTTCCCTCTTTTCTGCTCTAAAGATAAATAAATACAATTAAAAACAAACAAAGAAGCCCTGGCTGGTGTAGCTCAGTGGATTGAGTGCGGGCTGCAAACCAAAGTGTCACAGGTTCAATTCCCAGTCAGGACACATGCCTGGGTTGCAGGCCATGGCCCCCAGCAACCGCGCATTGATGTTTCTCTCTCTCTCTCTGTCTCCCTCCCTTCCCTCTCTAAAAATAAATAAATAAAATCTAGAAAAACAAACAAACAAACAGAGTCTGCAGCAGTATGTGTGATGGATGGGAAGGGACAGAGAGCTCTATTTTAATACGTTTCTTTAACTTGTAACATAGGGAACAGGCATAGGCCAAGTTTCTCAAAATTCTTTGGGAATCAAAGGGTTATAAGCAGCTATTTATTGAAGCCTGTTTACAGTGCAGTTAATCAGTAAACCCGAATCAGTGAAATTACCCAATCTGGGGAAGTGCAAAAACCCTTCAAAAGGTTTTCCTGCATTCGGCAAGACAGAGAAATGAGGCAGGCAAGGTGGGCGACTATTCCAGAGCTGCATAAATAATCTCCAGCTTTGGATGGGACAGTTCCGAGCATCCTTCCCAGGTGCCATCACACCGGTGTTCACTGGCGTGAAACTGGGAAGAGCTGGTTCCCAGCCCTTGGATCTTGACTGGTGAAGAAGACAGGTTTAGGGGAGAGGCAGGACTCCTTTCAGTGGTTCTCTCTGTAAAAGCCCTGTGAGATGTCAGGCCTGCTCTCAGTCTTCCTCCACCTCCTCCTTCTCTTCAAGTTGGTTGCCGCCGTGACCTTTCGCCACCACCGCTATGAGGACCTCGTGCGGACGCTGTACAAGGTGCACAACGCGTGCCCCTACATCACGCGGCTCTACAGCATCGGGCGCAGCGTGGAGGGGAGGCACCTCTACGTGCTGGAATTCAGCGACCAGCCTGGATTCCACGAGCTCTGTAAGCCCCGAGCAGTTCTTGGAGTGTCTGGGGCAGGACCCTTGCCTACAAATGCAGGAATTGGGGTGGTTTGTGGGGAGGTCTGCGGACCCCTCCACCTGTAAAGTATCACCCCTTCCTCAGCCGGTGCCAACTAATTTTCCCCGCTTAGCTCTCCAACAGCCCTGCCTCTGGGGAGCTTCAGTCCCAATTCAGTCTCCAGTTCCTTCCCCTCTTTGGGGTTCTGGTTGCCCAAGACCTTAATGGTAGGATGAACTTCCTTCCCTGCTCCCAGCTGTCCCTTTCCTTTCCTCCCATTACCCTGTCCTTTACTAGCCTTGCTAGTCTTCTCTCTTTCTCTGCCCAAGGCCTCAGGAGACATGAACAGAAACCCTTAGCCCCTCTAATTCTGTCAGGAAACTTAGAAGGGTTTAGGAATATCTCTTTGGGGAATGACAGTGAGAAAGAGTACGGCATCTGGGAGAGGGTATTAGTTTTGTTCATTGGGTTATTTTTTGTTAGTTTGTTTCTATTATAAAAAGCATTGGATGTTTGGATTAAAGCTAGAAGTTAGAGATGGGAAAAAAACAAAAAAACTCACTCATAATCTCACCACTGACAGATGACTATTGTTAACATGTTGCTATATATTCTTCCATACTTTTTTCCTATAGTTAAACCCCGCCTTATACACAAATAATTTATTGTATAAAATTGGAGTCATACTATGACTGCATTTCTCATTTCACAGTCTTTTTTATTTATTGATTTTTTTTTTTTAGATAGAGAGAGGAAGGGGTTGGGGAGAGAGAGATTTGTTGTTCCACTTGTTTATGCATTCATTGGTTGCTTTTTGGATGTGCCCGGACCAGAGATCAAACCTGCAACCTTGGCATATCAGGATGATGCTCTAACCAACTGAGCTACTCAGTTAGGGTCCTCATTTCATAGTCTTGTACAAATGATGTCCATGTTTGTAAATGTAGATCTATATCACCATTGTTGGCTGTATAGCACTCCATTGCATGGTTGCATTTAACTGTGCATTTTTGCTGGACATTTGTTTCTAATTTCTTACTGCTTTACTTACAGCAATTGTGACATTGAAGTTATGTCAGTTCCTCCTTCAAACTGTCCACCTCAAATCTCTTCCCTGCTCCACTCCTATACCTTCCACCCTAGCCCAAACTTCATCACGACCTGCCTAACCTGGGAGTCCAACCTGCAGTCTGCCGGCCTCATGCAGCCCAGGGAGGCTGTGAATGTGGCCCAACACAAAATTGTAAATTTACTTAAAATATTATGAGATTTTTTGTGTGACTACATGTTGCAATGTATTTAATGTGTGGCCCAAGACAACTCTCCTTCCAGTGTGGTGCAGAGAAGCCAAAAGGTTAGACACCTCTGGAAACAATTGCACTAGGCTCCTAACTGACTTCCTAACTCCTACCTGCCACCACTCTAAGCCTTCCACTTAGCACAGAGATGCCAGGGTAATTTCTCTAAATACTGATATAATCTTCTTACCTCCCCCATCCCCCCACTTAAAAACCTTCAATGACAGTTCTACACGAGGTGGATTCTGTCCAAGACAGCTTCAGAATATCACATGGCCAGTGGGGAGAGAGGGAGGGTGGTGGGAAGTGGCTCAGGAAAGGCGGAGTCAGTGGTTAAGTGAGGATAAGGGCCCTGCTTTGAAGCCTTACCAGTATTGCAAGTGCCTGCTTTTACTCATGTTGTGTGTTCATTGTGGAAGGTGCTAATGGACATTGTGGGGTTAGCGCCTCCTTACTCCATGCCCCATTCTGGGAGCCCCCTCTACTTTCTAGCATTCGAACCTTTCTTGAGACTTTTTCGTTTAGGGTCGTCTTTCCTCTGATACCTATCACTTAGCCATTCATCCATTTATTCCTTTCATTTATTTGTTATTCATTCCACAAATATTATTGATTATCTACTATATGCAAGCACTTTTGTAGACTCTCAATATACAACAGAGAATAAATCAAAGACCTCGCCTTCAGGGCCTTAATTCCAGCTGGATAAGACTGGCAATAAATGGGTAAATAAGTAAATAAATATATTGTATTGATGAAAATAAGTGCTATAGGGAAAAAAAATAAACCAGGAAAGGAAGAGAACGTCATGGAGTACTGTGGATTGAATAGGGGAGAGGTCACTGCTACTTAGGAAAAGCTTCTTTGTCCAGGTGATATTTGAGCACATCATGGTCAAGAAGTTGATAATAGGAAGGAAAACGCTACAGGCAGAGAAAAGTGCAGGAGCTCAGCCTATGTGAGGAGTAGCGAGAGGGCCCCTGCAGCTCCAGCAGAATGGATGGAGGGAGAGAGAGCAAGAGACAGCTCAGGGCAGTACGGTCAGGGAAACCAGGAAGGAGAAGATGGAGTAGGGCCTTACAGGCTTTTGTAAAAATTTTGGCTTTTCCTCTGAGTGAAGTGAGAAACCACTGGAGGGTTTTAAGCAGAACAGTGACATGATCTGACACCAACAGCGTAAAGACCTCTCAGAGTGGGGTGAGCAGGCTACAGCCCTAGGGCCAGTTATCTGTTTTGGTAAGTGAAGTTGCTTTGAAACACAGTCCCGCCTCTTTGTTTTTGTACTGTCTATGGCTGCTTTTGCTTCAAGAGCTGGGTAGCTGTGACGGAGACAATACAACCCACAAATCCCAAGTATTTACTGTCTGGCCCTTTACAGAAAAAGTTTGCAGACCCCTGACTCGGGAGAATATACTTTAATGGGGCTGCACTGATGCAAGGAGTACAAGTAGGAAATGAAATAATCCTAGTGTGAGAGGGCGGGTCTTAAACCAAAATGACAGCTGTGGTTGTTATGAGAAGCAGTCATAGTCTGCAAATATTGAAAGTAGAGACAAAAGAATTTGACATTGAGCACCTACTAAGTGCAAAGCATTATGCTAGTTTCTATAGGGCAGTAGTTGCCAACTTTTGGATTCCACAGAAGTTAAAAAATATATTTTTAGTAAATAAGAGAGCTTGGAGGGGACTAAAATATATTTACCAAATTTTATTTTACTGAACAAGGATGTTGAAAATACTACCTGCCATCTGCTATCAACACCTTTTCCTACAAGAAGGGATATTTTAACACCAAGAAAAGTAAGAAAGACACAATCTAACACTAAAGACTCTACACTACAGAAAATTCACTACACGATTCTTGTGGGTTATAGGCATTTTATTGGGAAAGACTGCTGTAGGTATACTAAGATAAATAACAATGAATCATGTCCTAAGGAAAATTTAAAATTATATATAGTAAAAAAATAAAACATGCCAAATTGGGTAAAATTCAGAGTAGAAAGTGTTAAGTACCATAAAAGGGAAGTGCAATAGCAAGTTCACTCCCAGCAGGGGGAGCCCAGGATGGCTTCCCAGAGCCTACAAGGACGCAGAGGAGAATTTGGAATAGGGAGATGAAGACGTCCAGAATCAGAAAAATCATGGAGGCAGGACGGTGGGTAGAAGGGAAATCGCGGAGGGTGGAAGATAAATCACTTGGCCAGAGCTTTTCTCCTTTCTTTTAAAAGGGGGCAAATATGATTTTCTTGAAGTGGTTCCGGAGGCTCTTTTCATGACCTCAGTTCTTACTTGAACTGAGCGGTTAACACTGATTGCCGAAGATGAAGGAATGAGACATAGTTAGATTCCTTCCTACTGTGTGCCTCAAAACACAATATTCTCAGATATTAAGGAGAGATTTTAGTTTTCTAAGTAGCCGGAAAATTAAGTTTTCAATCAAGATGATTAGAAACTGTTGTGCTATAACCTAGAGAATTTTACGCGAGCAGGTGTTGGGAACATACCACCCTTCTAAAAAGATTGCCTCTGAGAAGCAGCGAACGACTGTAAACGCTCCCTGAGCTTTGGCTTCTATCGGATTAATTGGCTAGGTGACTTCTGACAAGTTAACCTCATCCCTCCCCAGTTCCCTCACCCTGAGGCTAATAATAACTACTGATTTTCGGTGAAGATTAGTAATGAGTATAAATACCTAGGACATGGTAGAGGTTCAATGAGTGGTAGTCATTACTATCCCTGGCATGGATTTTCATAGCATTCGTAATTGCAATTTTCTAAAGGGGCTCAGGGATTTTTGCAAAAGACCCAAATGAAGCATGAGATTTTCTTCGATTCCCTATTGAAAAAGAGGGAAAAGGCCCCTTTGCAAGGTTAGGAGTCAATGGCACTCGCAAGCTTTCCCCACTTTTTATCATTCTGCATGTCTTTCTCACGCTTGCAGTGGAACCTGAAGTCAAGTACGTGGGGAACATGCACGGCAACGAGGTGCTGGGCCGCGAGCTGCTGCTGCAGCTGTCGGAGTTCCTGTGCGAGGAGTTCCGGAACGGGAACCAGCGCATCGTCCAGCTGGTCCAGGGCATGCGCCTTCACATCCTGCCGTCCATGAACCCGGATGGCTACGAGGTGGCTGCCGCCCAGGTACTGAACCATACAGAGAATAAAGCCATCTTAAGGAATAAAATAAAGCCCAGTAGACAGTGTCCTCACTGTTCCACTGTAAGTATGAATTAGAAAAATAAATCCAATAGAAATATAATGAGGTAAGAAGACCCAACCCTGTACAATGAATGTGGGCTCTCTCTGAACTTCACTTCCCTCAGCATCTTTCTAGCTGAACTCCTGGTTTCATTGAGAAGGCCAGTGAGGCAGTATTTTGACAACACTTTGTAAACTGGGAAACCTATTCGTGTAGGAAGAGATATTGCAAAATAGAGCTCCTTCCCTGAACTTTCAGCCTCAATCCCTAAATGCTCCGCTTCCTCCCACAACACACTTACATTTGCATTTTGAAGCAGGAAGGAGATAGCGGAGAGATGAAGCTTCTTCCAGAACTGCAGAGTGAGGAACTCTAGATTCTTCGTACTATTTTTCTGTAGGTCTTTTTCCTTTGCTGCTATAGTTCTCTGCTACCCGGACTTTCAATTCTTTATTTTAGAGTTGCATGTGCAGGGGAGACAGAAAGAAACAAATGTCTATGGGCTTTTACTTTATTTATTAACATGAATTTAAAATGTCAGTGTGCCTAGCTCTAAAGCAGTGATTCTTTTGTGGCTGTGTGTTGGAATTGTAAGTGAATATTTTGAAATACACATTCCCAGATTCATTTTCTTCCCTTCTTGCAACTGAATTAGAATATTCAAGGGTGAAGCTTTACACAATGAATAGGTTCCTTTAAAAGGTATGTTTAAACCTGATTTGTTTTGGGGGGGAGGGGTATAAATTAAAGTATTTTTCCATTTAAAAATGTTTATTTGGGGTAGTCATTTTTTTAAATTTTTACAACTAGACTTCACTGCTGTAGTTAAAATATTTTTAATTTTACTGTGGTAAAAACACTCGAGATGAGATCTACCGTCTTGACAAAATTTTAGGTGCTCAATACAGCATAGTCAACTCCAGGTGCAATGTGGTACAGCAGGTCCCCAGCACTTACACCTCCCGCTCAGCCAAACGCCTGTCATTCAGCCGTTCCCCCTGCCTCCTCCCCATAGCCCCTGGCAGCCACCCTCCACTCTCTGATTCCATGGGTCTGACCACACTGTCTCTGTGCTTCCATGACCCAGGAGTATTTTAAACAGACTTGAGGGTAGGGTTGGGGGCTGAGTAGAGGCAGGGGTGGAATGGAGCCAAGATACTGAACTCAACACATATTTGACCCTTGCTAGCTCACAACTTCTGCTGACATGACTTAAAAAAATGAAGAAACAGAACTTCGTCCCTCTGCTGGAAATCAGAGAGGTGCCTGAAGGCTTGAGTTTCCAAAAGAGCTGGAAAATGTGAAATAGGTCAGGGGAGGGCACCCCAGCCTGCCGGCTCTCCTTCTCTGGCCTGTCCCTGTGTTGCAGTGGGGAAACTGCAGGAGCACGCAGACGTGTTCATATCTCTTGTGGGAGGAGGCAGGGGTGGGGGCAGGTGGGGAAACCCCTGCCAGCCCACTACATCCTATATGTAGCTCTGGGGAGCCAGTCCTTTCTGCTCACCTGCTCTGTGCTTGCTCAGAGGGAGCAGGTTTTGAACCTGAATCAAAGAGGACCCATCAGGTTCTCACACTCCCAGAACTACCCGCCACACCCAGAGGAAAGCTGTCTGCATGGTTACACGGGGAAGAGCCCGCCTAGCCATCCAACTTTAAAGCCAACTGGGGGTAAAGCAGAATAATGCCCCCTCCTGCTCCATCAAAGATGTCCAAGTCCTGACCCCTGGAACCTGTGAATATGTCATCATGTTACATGATGGCAAGGGGGAACTACGGTTGCAGGTGGAAGTAAGCTGCTAATCAACTGACTTTAACATATCCTGGGCTATTTGGGTGGGGCCGTTGTAATTGATCGAAAGTCCTTTCGATGTGTAAGAAGGAGGCAGAAGGTCGGAGTTGGAGAGATTTGAAGGTGTCGAGCTGCTGCCTTTGAAGATTAAAAGGATCATGAGCGAAGGAGTGTGAGCGGCCTCCAGATGCTGGAACAGATTCCTCTAAAACCTGTGGGAGAAACACAGCCGTCGTAACACCTTGATTTCAGTCCTGTGAGACCCATTTCAGTCTCCTGCTCTCCCAAACTCCAAAAGATAATGAACTTGTGCTGTTGTAAGCCACCCAGTTTGTGGTAATTTGTTACAGCAGTAATGGAAAACTAACACACCACCAACCCTGTTTATGGGAACCTTCTGTTGGGGAATTCCTTACCTGTCTGCCTAACTACTGACCCAGTGTAGGTGGTCATACTGATAGGTAAATTAAATATCTGTTAATATGAACAGGTAAGAGCTAGTTGATACAAATAGGCAAGTAGTGAAAAACCCCTAGAAGCGTAAGAAAAAGTCATTATCTCATAGAAGTGAAAAATCAAACTCCAAGCTAAAAAATCAGATAAGTGTTTTTCACTGGACAGAATTGATGTAGAAAATATAAGGTAACTTCAAAAATATTATGTCGTCAATGATATCTAAGAATACAATATGAGCAGGACCCCTTGACAAATGAGGAAATCTGAGAAAAATAAAGACTTCTTAGGGCCCTGGCTGGCGTAGCTCAGTGTCCCAGGTTCGATTCCCAGCCAGGGTACATTCCTGGGTTGCAGGCCAGAACCCCCAGCAACCGCACATTGATGTTTCTCTCTCTCTCTCTCTATCTCCCTCCCTTCCCTCTCTAAAAATAAATAAATAAAATCTTAAAAAAAAAGTAATGTTCTAAATTAAGGAAAAGACAAATTGAAAAAAAAAAAGGCTTCTTAGGAAAATATGAGACTGGTAGGATGTGTGAGTTTTTAGCCTCTCAGCATCAAACCAGCTGCCCTACTTCTGGGCACGGCCGCAGACGGGGCTCCACTCTCCCGGGGCACAGGGCTACGGAGGGCGCTGCTCCCCTGCTCCAGTGGAGCTTCCGTTTTGCAAGGGACTGTGAACATGTCTCTATTCCACTGCTTTATATATTTTACTTATTTATATAAGCATCTGTCTCCCTGTATATACTAGGAATTCTTAGAATGCTGGAATCATGTCTCATTATCTTTCCTCAGTGTCTGTCAGAGGCTCTATCGGAGATGGACTTGAGTAAATAAAAATGCTGGTTAACTAAATGGGCGAGTGAGTGAATGAATGAATGAATGAATGAATACATGGCCAAATAAATGGTAACAGTTGAAGTGTGAGCAGAGAAATTTGAAGTGTAAGCATGAGGTTGATATTACTCAGAAGAAAGATAAGCAAGGATACTAAGTTTTAAAAAGTGGCGGTGGGGTTTTCCTGGTGTAGCCACTTTGGAAAAAAGTTTAGCTATTTCTGAAAAAGTTAAACATAGGCTTACCTTATAACCCAGCAGTTCCACTACCAGGTGTCTACCCAAGAGAAATGAAAACATACGCCCACACAAAGACTTGTACGTGAATGTTCACAGCAGCATTATCCACAATAGCCAAAAAAGTGGAAGCAACTCAGATGTCCATGTACTGGGTTGAAATAGTATCCTCCCAAATTCATGTCTACCTGGAATCTGTGATTGTGACCGTATTTGGATATAGGGTTTTGCATATGTAATCAAGTTAAGATAAAGTCATACTGGATTAGGGTGGACCCTAAATCAAATATGCTTGTTGTCCTTATAAGAAGAAAGAAACTTATACAGAGATACAAACAGATGGAGGAGAAGGCCACACAAAGATGGAAGCGAAACTAGAGTGATTTATCTGCAAGCTAGGGAGCACCACGGATTTCTGGCAGCCACCAGAGGCTAGGAGAGATAAAGAAGGATCTTCCCTAGAATGTTTAATGAGCACGGACCTGCCAATACATTGATTTCGAGCTTCTAGCTTCCAGAATTGTGGGAGAACAAATTTCTGTTGTTACAAGCCATCTAGTTTGTGGTAACTTGTTACGGCAGCCCTAGAAACTAATAGTCTATTACCTGGAAAATGGATAAACAACATGGGATAAATTCATACAATGAAACTCTTCATCAATAAAAAGGAAGGAAGTGCTGATATTTGCTACAATGTGGAAGAACCCTGAAAACATTGTCAAAAAAGCCAAACACATACTATATGGTCCCACATATGTGACATGTCCAGAAAAGGCAAACCTACAGAGACCAGTGATTTCCTAGGGCTGGAGTAAAAATGAGGAGTGGCTGTAAGTGGGCCTGAGGTTTCTTTTTAGAGTGATAGAAATGTTCTCCAATTAGATTGTGGTGAAGGTTGTACAACTCTGTCGGCATCCCAGAATTCATTGAATCGTAGACTTCAAATGAGTGAATTTTATGGCATATAAGTTATATCTCAATAAAGTCATTTTAAAAAAATAGAGGTCCTCCTTATCCTGAAACACCCTATTCTTGTTAGAGCTTCTCCAGAATCTGTGCCTCCAGCACTTGGTCTACAGGAAACTTGAACCATACCACTGAGTCTTTGGATAAGTTAAAGAGAAAAATGCTGTATCATTGGATGATAGATTAAGCTAATACCTAAAAAGAACTATACAGTGTTCTTCAAATTTAGGATTCAGTCTGGAACTTTCACTTTTCATCTCTCCTTTCTTCCCCTAGGACTCAAACATTTCTAAAAACTTGGTTGGCAGGAACAACGCAAATGGAGTGGACCTGAACCGCAACTTCCCCGACCTCAATACCTACATCTACTACAATGAGAAGTACGGAGGCCCCAACCACCACCTGCCCCTTCCAGACAACTGGAAAAATCAGGTATGAAGAGAAATTTGCATAAAGAAATAGGAAAATTAGCATCTGGACTTTCTTCTGGCAATTTTCAGATCAACTACCTAAGCAAGAATTAGGCATCAACCCTACTCCATATCAATGTGTCCAGAGCAATAATAACTGTGTCTTATGCCTCCCTGTATTTATTCCCTCCCCCAGTGTAGGACCCCCCATGGGGCGCCTGCTCACAAGATGTTTGGTGTTCGTGGCCGTGGTAGTGAGGGAGGTGAAAGCAGTATCATACAGTTGCGCAGTATTTTGTAAAATTCTTTTTTAGCCAGCATTTCAGTTGATTATCAGTGCTATCTATCCTTGTTTTATAGATGCTATGCTTATAAAAATAACTTAAATTCACACAGCTATAATTGATGGAATCAGGGTTAAAACCCCGGTCTTCTGAATCCTAATCAATGTTCTTTCTGCTGCACTGAACTGTTGACAAAGACCTCCGGGATTCTATAGAGAAATCTCTCTTACATGCAAACTACATGCTCATCAATTAACTATAGAAAGTTCAGAGTCTCCCCCTTATGTACAGTTTTTCCTCTTCCGTTTCTACATGAGCTGAACTACTCTACCGTACTCTCATGTCCCTTACTCTCCCAGTCAGACGATCCTGTTCGCTGTTCCCCTGCCTTTCTCCTCGGGAGACCTCTAATGTCACCCCGGTAAGGTGACTGGTTTTGTCCTACCAGTGGGCCTGCTCCCGAGAATAACCACTGTCATCCTGAGAGCATCCCCACCACCCTGTTTTTCACACTGTGTGGGACAGTTTTAAACATTCTCTTTGTGAATATCTGGACTTACAGACGGGGGAGAGAAAGATAACACAGGTGTAAGGCTTTCTATTGGGAGTTTTCTAGACAGAATTGTCTCCGTTGGAAATGAAGCAAAAGTCACGCTGATGTGTTTAGGTTTCAGAGAGCAGCTATGCTCTTGGCTCAAGTACATACTAAATCAAAAGAACTTTGTACTAGTCAGCATAGCCGGTCAGAACGATGCTCTGATTTATTAATTTATTGAAGTAAAATAAGCTCAAAGAGCCAAAAATAATTAGACTCCTACTGCTCCTCTGTCTGAATCTTAGAAGATCAAAAAGAGAATGAGGAGTAAGTCTTCATTGCACCCGGTGGGACAGGCTTGAGGGAGAGGAATAGTGAGAAGCTGGCTTTGTTCGGATGGAGAGAGGCTTAGGACATGGAGAAAGGATTGCTTCAAAGGGGTGAGTCCTGGTCACAGAGTAGGACTGGTGTCTTTGGTGTTACACCCATTCTGACTGGGTACAACTCAACCATATTCATCGACTTCCTCTTGGGATGGAAAAGATGGGGCCATCACAGCTGACCCTTGGTCTGGGAGGAGCCATTAACACAGTAACACCACGCAACCTCCAAACACCCTAAGAGGAGGAAAAACACTGAAGACTGTAAATCGTTTACTTCTAATGCAAGTCCAAGTGGACTCATAGCTTTCCTGAAGCACCATCACTCACTAGCACTGTAATGTGAATCAAAATGGCGGAATTTCACTACTTAGCCAAAATTGACCCATATTATAGTATTTCTAATCCACAAAATGTGAGTATGGACACATATTGACATTGCAGTAGATGCGCTGGGGAAAGGAATAGGTTGAAAACTGTTACTGCAAAACAGCATTTTCCACAGTTATTTATCAGAGCTCTAAATTTCAGCAAAGGTGCCTCAGAAGCCACGGAAGCAGTGCAGTGGGTAAGTTGGAGAATGCTTTCCCAGGGGCCAGAGATGCCAAGCTTGGGCTTCTCTCTCTCTCTCTCTCTCTCTCTCTCTCTCTCTCTCTCTCTCTCTCTCTCTCTCTCCCCCCCTCTCTTCACTCCCCCCCATAGATCTTATTCCTTAGGTCAGTTTTGGGTTCACAACACAATTGAGTGGAAAGTACAGAGACTTCCCCTATACTGCCTGCTTCCCATCATCAACATCCAGCACCATAGTGGTGTGTTACAAGAGATGAACCTGCGTTGACTCATCCTTATTACACAAAGCCTGTCATTTACATTAGCGGTCATTCTATGGGCTTGGACAAATGTATCATGACATGTATCATGCACAATGGTTTCACTGTCCTCAATGCTCTCTTTTCATCTGTTTTATGCATTAGGATTACACATAAGATTTCATTTTGAAAAAGGGTTCCATCCCCTTAATTTTTAAAACCATCATGCAAAAGATAAAAATTTCCCCATCCACACTTCTCATGTCTGGTAAGACCTGTCTTATTCAGATGTGCTATCTCCTCAGGCCACTTCCCAACAAACTTTTTCTAGTGGCTCTCATCTCTCCTCAGGTGGAACCCGAGACCCGAGCCGTGATCCAGTGGATACGCTCCTTCAACTTTGTCCTGTCAGCCAACCTCCACGGAGGGGCAGTGGTGGCCAATTACCCATATGACAAGTCTCTGGAGCAGCGGGTCCGAGGTTCCCGCCGTGCTGCCAGCACCCCCACTCCTGACGACAAGCTTTTCCAGAAGGTATGCAGAATGGGGGCTCTTCCAGCTGGCAACTCGGGGCTCAGGAGAGGAACACGGGCCAAGTCAGTGATGCAGGACCCTGTTATGCACCAGTCCACAGAAAGTAATGGAAACACCGCTTGCTCATCAGGAGCTTACAGTCTAGTAAATGACATTTTGTTTTGAGTGATAAGCCAAAAATTCATGAAAAAGTAAATGTATAGAAAAACTTTTACAATCACCACAGTGTAAAAACGTTCTTAAGCTAATGACTAGCAAGAAATATGCCAAGAGACGGATTGTGCTGGTGGTAAGCAAGCGGCATTATATGTGATTTGGGGGGCTCTGATTTGCAATTTTATGGTGGTAAGGCTATGTTAGTGGAAAATGTACATACATACACATGCACATACAAATATTTACATGATAGGTCAAACAGCAATAGAATAAAATGAACAGATTATTTTATAGTTAATATATTATTAGCAACATGTAATTTATATAAATAATTACTACAATAACATTAATTATAAATTAACCACTAAATGAATTGCAGAGAGAATAATACCAGTTGTTGCTTTGCAAAGCATGCACATTTCATTTTGTTCACTGTTAAAAACAGTAATGACAGGGAATTAATAGACATTCTAAATATGTTCCTCTCTGCCCCACACACAACTCACACCCCCAAAACACAGTTCTTTCTCTAGTGAAGGCCTATTGCCCTTGCTCCTTTCTTTTACAAAACTTTGCTACAAAATATCCCACTTAGAAGAAGATTGAGAAGTACAAATTGCCAGTTATAAAAATAGTCACAGGGATGTACAGCATAGGGAATATGGTCAATAATATTTTAATAACCATGTGTGGGGTCAGATGAGTACTAGACTTACCAGGGTGTTCACTTCATAAGGTATATAAATGTCTCATCATTATGTTACATATTTTGTAATATATTATTACATATAATATAATAGATTATATTACATATAATATAATATATTGTTACCAATAATTATTATCAATATGTTAATAACCATTACATAATGATATATTAGTGATATTAATAGTATATTATAATATGACATGTAATTATATGTGATATAGTACATATATTATATGTAATATGTACTGTGTTATATATTATTTGAAATATAATATTGCATGTCAACTATAATTTAAAAATAAATTTGAATAATACAAATAAGTAAATTTTTTTAAAAAGAAGATGGTACACCTAACAAGGAGTTTATATATCATCTAGTGCCACCTCTCTATTTGTACTTAAAGAAATTTAGTCCCAAGACAGTGGAAAAATCAGAATACAGGTTTCTCAACTCTACTCTAGTACATACACACACACCCATCTCTGTCTTTGCTGGTATCTTCTTTCACTAAAGCAAATAATCAGTTGTTTACACCTAGTGGGGTTTCTTGGCTTTACCCTCCTTCTGAGTATGAACATTGCCATGAGTTGGGAACACACAAGGTCATTTCTGCCCACTTTCCCTACAGCTGGCCAAGGTCTACTCCTATGCACATGGATGGATGTACCATGGTGGGAACTGCGGGGACTACTTCCAGGACGGCATCACCAATGGGGCCTCCTGGTATTCTCTCAGCAAGGGTAAGGGGAGGTCTGGGCACACAGCACTGCTGCCTGAAGTAGGGTGGGGCTCATTTCTCCTTCTGAATTATCTTTTTTTCCTCAGAGAAATGACAAGAATACTATAGCATTTTGCATTCAAGTAGAGATCTGAAAATGACAGTCTTAAGCTAGTATTAATGGCATTTTGTAGTTTAAGAAAATGACAGGGACACCTTGTGGCCTTTTAGAACTGGTGGTTTACAAGGAATGTTGGGACATGGGAGGGAAATAATGTAGTCAAGTGGTTAAGTGTGGGCTTCAGGGGTACTTTGGGTTGAAACCCCGGCTTGCCCATTTACCAGCTATGTGGCTTCAGGCTAATTACATAACTTCTCTGAGCTTTGGTTTCCTTATCTGTACATTAAGAATAACAATACTTGCCCCATCAATTTGGTGTAAGTATTGGATAAAATAAAAAAGCATTTGAAGATGCCCGATATAAATGTTAGGTTGTTTTTAACCAGCATAGGGTTGTGCCTCACATAAAAACAGGTGAACAGAGGAGCTGGCCAGGACAAGAGCAGCTCTTCTGGTGTATGCTCTGTACCCTGCCTGCCCATCTCCCATAAGCAGGAGTTTGCCTGGATATTGGCCACTGATATTGGCCAACTTTTTGTAACAGGTGCTTGCACACATTAGCACAAACCTCCAGTAAGAGGCTTCTCTCTCTACTCCCTGGGCTCTCCCCATCACGGGGAGTTGATATAGAATCTCTGTTTATGAGGATACTATCAGTAGAGGAAACCTAAGATACAGAAGAGGCTGAAGCAGGAAGCTGGGATCTCTTAGGAATCCATTTTACCAGTTGTCTTTTCCTCTCCTCTCAGATCCGACCTGGCCAGAGCCCAGGCAGCAGAAAGCTTATATCCTAGTGAGGACTGAGCTGATAGCTGGCCCTGTAGAGACTGAGGGGGAGGAAGCTGGGGGAGTCACCATGGACAGGGAAAGTGGCTGAAAATTCACTTCAACACAAAGCAAGAGGATGTTGTTGAACTTCCTTTAGTTTGCCTTAAGAAAGCAATAGTTCTTTCCCCAAAATATAAAATATCAAATATACTTTTTCAAATTATACTTGTTCCTTCCTTTCTATCATCCTCTGGGAAAGCATGGCCCATGCCTCCACTGGGAATCATTGCCCCAAATTAAACTCATACAATTTCAAGGTCATTAAGTTCACTAAAACAATTGTTCCAACAGTGTGGTCCCTGGCCAGCATCATCAGCATTGCCTAGTACTCATTAGAAAAGCAAATTTGGGGGCCCCACCCCATACCTACTGAATCAGAAACTCTGGGGCTAAAGCCTAGTGACCTGTATTTGGCTGGAAGATGCAGCCTTCTAGATGATTCTGATGCTGAGAGAGAAGAGACATAACAGTGTGCAGTTGTTTTCCAACTTTTTGTAACAGGTGCTTGCACACATTAGCTCAGAGAGCAGGTGAAAGTTGAGTAAATAGGTATTTTTTCAAGTTACTGCCATTTTATTGTGGAGAGAATAAATATACATGGAAAACAATTACAGAACAACAAATAATGTACAAAATAGTGTCACATACTATGACTATGTGGTGGATCACTAAATAATCAGAGTTTTCTAAGTTTCCATCAGTTGCCAGAATTTTATTTATTTTTAAATATATTTTCTTGATTATGTTATTACAATTGTCTGATTCCCCCCGCCCCCTTTATTCCTCTCCACCCTGCACACTGCCTCCCACCTGCACTGCCCGCCTTTAGTTCATGTCCATGGGTCATACATATAAGCTATTTGGCTTCTACCTTTCCTATACTATTTTTACTTCCCTCTGTCTATTTTCTACCTACTATTTATGCTACTTATTCTCTATACCTTTTCTGCCTCTCTCCCCCTCCCACTCCCCTGATGATAACCCTCCTTGTGCTCTCTGTTTCTGTGATTCTATTCCTGTTCTAGTTATTTGCTTAGTTTGTTTTTGTTTTTGTTTTAGGTTCAGTTGTTAATAACTATGAGTTTGTTGTCATTTTACTGTTCATATTTTTTATCTTCTTTTTCTTCGATAAGTCCCTTGAATATTTCATAGAATAAGGGTTTGATGATGATGAATTCCTTTAATTTGGCCTTATCTGGGAAGCACTTTATCTGTCCTTCCATTCTAAATGATAGCTTTGCTGGATAGAGTAATCTTGGATATAGGTCCATGTTTTTCATGGTTTTGAATACTTCTTTCCAACCCCTTCTTGCCTGCAAGGTTTCTTTTGAGAAATCAGCTGACAGTCTGATGGGAACTCCTTTGTAGGTAACTGTCTCCTTATCTCTTGCTGGTTCTAGAATTCTCTCCTTCATTTTTATCTTGGGTAATGTAATTATGATGTGCCTTGGTGTGTTCCTCCTTGGGTCCAAGTTCTTTGGGACTCTCTGAGCTTCCTGGACTTCCTGGAAGTTTATTTCCTTTGCCAGATTGGGGAAGTTCTCCATTATTTTTTCAAATAAGTTTTCAATTTGTTGCTCTTCCTCTTCTCCTTCTGGTACCCCTATGAATCAGATGTTGGAACATTTAAAGATGTCCCAGAGGTTCCTAAGCCTCTCCTCATTTTTTTTGACTTCTTGTTTCTTCATTGTGTTCCGGTTGAATGTTATATCTTCCTTCTGGTCCAAACCGTTGGTTCGAGTCCCAGTTTCCTTCTCATCACTGTTGGTTCCCTGTACATTTTTTTTTTATTTCCCTTAGCATAGCCTTCATTTTTTTCCTCTATTTTACAACCATACTCAACCAGTTCTGTAAGCATCCTGATTGCCAGTGTTTTGAACTGTGCATCTGATAGGTTGGCTATTTCTTCATCGCTTAGTTGTATTTTTCCTGGAGCTTTGATCTGTTCTTTTATTTGGGCCATTTTTTTTGTTCAGTTGCCAGAATTTTAAAACTAAAAGATTTAACATAGAAGTGTGGATTTCCATCTTAACTTGATAAATTAGATATAGGGGTTTTCCTGTGACCCCTCACAGTAGGGGACCTGTTTTCCTACAGGGTATAAATGGATAATTTTTTTACCCAAATAAATTTGTGATATAAACACCATTCTAATAATCAGAAACACGCTTTAAAATAATTAACCCAATTGCATAATATAGGAGATAGAAGCAAGCCAGCATTTAATGGAGGCAAAATATAGCTGCCTTCTGCTTTATCAGGTTCCTGTGTCCTTGGATGACTATTTTTCAGGTTAGTGTTGTGTTCTTGAGTAGGAGGGATGTGAAAGCAAGATATTTGTCTCATCTCTAACCTCCCAGGCCTGAAGGACATCACGGTCCAAAAAGGAAATCTGCCCCCCAGAAAGCAGTGCGTGTGCATAGTCTAATGCTAAAGCATCACCAATGAGCAGACTTTGGACATGCTAATGGAGACAAGATGTGAATTTAAGTCATTAAATGAAAAAAAAAGTTGAGTGTAGAGATGACAAAAATGGGCATTTATGAAGAGAGAAAACTGGAACAATAGAAAGACATGTGATCTGGGATATTGGGGAAAGATGTCATGGAGGGGAAATAAGTGGAGATCAAGAGTAGAATAGAAGGTAATGAAGTGTGTATGGAGAAATTGTGATTAAAGAGAGTTGAGATGGGGCATCGATTGCATGGGAACCTGGCTGTAAAAATCAGCCACTGCTCTCTTTCCCCTAGGAATGCAAGACTTTAATTATCTCCATACCAACTGCTTTGAGATCACCTTGGAATTGAGTTGTGACAAATTTCCCAACGAAGACAGGTTACAGCATGAGTGGCTGGGTAATCGGGAGGCCCTAATCCAATTCTTGGAACAGGTAAAGTTGAATTCTTTAACCTTCATGGTTATAGAAGGAGAAGACTTGCCCAGTGGTAGGTAAGGTTTTCTGTGTGGCTCAGGTCTGACTTGTGCTCTGACCCATCAATCAATCTGGGCTGCTTCTACCAATGGCATGTGTGCATTCAACATTATCGAGCATAACTATCTGTCAGAAACTGGACAACATCCTGGGGATTATGAATATAAACAAATATCTGTCCATATGGAGTTTATATTCTAGTCCGAAAAGATAGACAGACAATAAACAAAGTAATAAATTGTATGAACTGTTAAATACTATGAAGAAGGCCAAACAGAGGAACTGATATTTAAACAGACTTAGAGGAGGTAAGGAAGAGAGCCATGCACATATCTAGAGAAAAGGTGTTCCTCATTGAGGACACAAAAGCAACTGCAAGGCCAACAACACACACATGAAAGATGCTCAACATCGCCAGTCATTAGGGAACCACAAATCAAAACCACAGTGAGATACCACCTCACACCGGTTAGGATGGCTGCTATTAAAAAACAAGCCCTGACTGCTGTGGCTCAGTTGGTTGGGCACCGTCCCACAAAGTGAAAGGTAGCTGGTACAATTCCTGGTTATGGTGCATGCCTGGGTTATGGGTTTAGTCCCCAGTTAGGGCACATGCAAAAGGCAACCAATTGATGTATCTCTCTCACTTCAATGTTTCTCTCCCTCTCTTTCTCCCTCCCTTCCCCTCTCCCTAAAAATAAATAAATGAAATATTTTAAAATGATAGAAAATAACAAATATTGGCAAGGATGTGGAGAATTGGAACCCTTGTACATTATTGGTGGAGATGTAAAATGGTACAGATGCTATGAAAAACAGTACTACAGTTCCTCAGAAAATTAAAAATAGAATTCTTGCATGAGCCAACAACCTACTTCTAGGTGTATACCCCCCAAACCGAAAGCAGAACTCCAAAGAGATATTTTTTTCATAGTGGCAGCATTCACAAAAGCCAACAGATGGAAACAATCCAAGTATTCAACAAGAGATAAATGGATAAACAAAATATAATATATATATATTATGGAATATTATTTTTTCTTTAAAAAGAAGGAAGTTCTGCCACATGCTACAATATAAATAAACCCCGTGGACATTACACCAAGTGAAATAAGCCAATCACAAAAGGAGAAATACCCTATAATTTTACTTATACAACGTACCAAGAGTACTCAGATTCATAGACAGAAAGTAGAATGGTAGTTGCCTGGGTCTGAGGAGAGAAGGAAATGAGACTTATATAACGGGTAGAGAGTTTTAGGTGTTTTTTTTTAATTTAATCTTTATTGTATTTTTAGAGTTTCAGTTTTGCAGGATGAGAAAGTTCTGGAGATTGGTTATACAACAATATGAATATACTGAACACTACTGAACTGTATACTTAAAATGGTTAAAATAGTACATTGCACATTGTGTGTATTTTATCACAGGACACCAGTGTGGCAGGAATACCCACAGGAGGATGGGACAGGGTAGCAGGCTGGGGCGAGCTCAGTCAGCTGAGCAAGGCTGTGGCTTTATAGACCATGGTAAAAAAACAAAAACAAATAAACTGTAGCTTTTGCTCTGAGTTGTGTTTTGAGTAGACCGATGACATGATTTGACTTAGATTTTAATAGGATCATTCTGGCCAATTCAGGGGTTATTAGGACAATCTGTGCGAAAATCAAATGTAAAAGCACATGAGACAGGGCTGTGGGGACCCTAATACACTGTGTACTGTTCTATGGTCATAGTTCCACTGTAACTTTTTTCCTACAGGTACACCATGGCATCAAGGGGATGGTGCTTGATGAGAATAATAATAATGTCCCTGAGGCTGTCATTTCTGTCAGTGGGATTAACCATGATGTCACTTCAAGTAGGTGGCCATTACCCAGTGGGGTAAGAAGGAAGCTTCCACTCCCTCTTCTTGTTCAGCCTAATCAGGAGGCCAAATCATAGCCAATGAGATTAGCAGGGACACCAAGGCCACTGCGGGGTCGGGGACTGGAGGGAGGAAGGGTAATAGAAATGGGAGCATCAAATGAAGAGGCAAGGACCAGGAAGATGCAAATGCAACATCCCTCTCAGCATTCAGGAGCCACTTCCTCATATCCCTTTGTTAGGGGTGTTTTCTGGGTTTAAAGTTACTATGAAGTTGGGTAGAAAGAAAGGGACTGTAAAACGGATGTTTAGACTTGTCCCTGCCCCAGCGCCTCACTATACCTGCATTCAGGGCCAGGTTAGCAAGATGCATTGTGTGAACTTGTTGCAGAGCAAGACTGACAGAACCTCTTAGAATGGTGCAGAATATCTCATGGCACAACGGTGCTGCAAACTGCCCCTGCCCAGTTTGATCATACATGATCGTAGGGGTTTCTGATTGTTTTGTTAAAGTAAAGCAGTAGCTACCAATGGTTAGGGGCAGTGAGATCTGCCTGCCTCCCTCCCACAACCTTGAGACCAGCATGGCTCAGCCCCGTTCGACCACACCAAGCAAGCATCTTACAGTTCAGTCTGTTTAAACTAGAGGAAATCTCAGCGTGAAGGAGATAACTTATGTTCAAGATGACCCCAACACATCTTGCATGAAAGATTCATTGAAGGCAAAGGCAGTGTATTCTAAAGGCAAAATTCTGTAGCCTCACAGTTAACTATCAGACTACTGGCTGGACCCAGGACTGTTGAGGGACCAAAACTCAGGCATCCCTAAGAGCTTCAGGGCTGCTAGATTCTTACCCCTTATTCACACAAGGATAGGGAATGACTCTGAAACATCTAGCCAATCAACATATATTGAATACCACTAATTTCACCAATAAGGGCCCATTTCTAATACCCATGTGCCAAATTAATAAATTGTTCATTTCCACATTGAAAAAACTCATTGCTAGCATTCATTATACCACCTAGCAAAGCATCTAGTGTTGATTAGAAATAAGGATAGCTGAAGCCCTCATAATAGCCGTATCCAGAATCGGGCCTTTCCGACACACCACTATGTACTACTCCTGCATGTGAGCCCAGTTAAGATAACGACAGCCCTGGGCTGTCCAACATATGCATAATAAGATACTGCTTTTGCTAAAGTATTTAAAGTGAATTACAGGCATTTCATAGGGGGCAGAAAAGAGACTTTCTCATGATGTATTGTCTGTCTTGCTCTTAATTGCATTTTATTTCAATTATTCATTGCTGTATACTTGAAAGAAATTTAAAGATACGATCACAGTTGATTCAAAAGAGATGTGATGTCATTAGCCAAAACACTCCATGCCTGCCACAGAGAAATGGGCCTCCTTTTGAATTTTATTTTCCCTTTTTGAAGGTGATGGAAGGAGTATTAAACATGGGATTCTCAAACTCAGACCTTTATCGGTCATTTAGCCCAGCCCTCCCACTCAGTGTAAGGTCACACCTATGCGACGCCCCTGGGACAGCAGGTTGTCCACCCCAGGGTTGCCACGCCCACTAGTGCAGGCGGGGCCGCTTCCCCAGGGCCCCTCGTTCACTCTCCACGCGAGGCCTCCCAGGGCTGTAAAGCAGCTGCCCATTTCTTCTTCAGAAGCTCTCTGTGCCACAGTAGTTTCTGTTTCTGTCGAGCAAAATCTTCCTCCTGGCAACTTAACCCAGAAGTTCTGATGCTTATTTCCTTAAGTACACTTTTCCTCACAGTAACTTTTCAAACATTGAAACAGCCGTCTCATGGATTCCCTTTACCAGGCAAAAACATTTATAGACAGTCAACCTTTTTCCTGGTGACCCTTCACTGGACATGAGTTTTAAAGGTACAGGGTCTAGAACTAAAGCAATATCCTCCGTGCAGAGCACTGTGAAACTCCTACTCCTCCGGAGCTGAGGCCCACTTTTCTGTCATGTAAAATAGCCTGTGATGGTTTTAGATCTTAGCCAGTTTCGTCACACTATTAAGAAAAATTAAGCGTGTGGTCAGCTAAACCCCCCGGGTTATTTTTCATATAAAGGTACTATTTGGGGCAGTTTCTAATCATATTCCTGTAACTTTTAGGTAACCAGGGCGATTACTTCCGGCTGCTGCTTCCGGGCACCTACACTGTCACTGCCTCAGCACCTGGGTTCGACCCAGAGACCGTGATTGTGACCGTGGATCCTGGGGAACCCAAACTGGTGAGTTAGGCTGACCTTTGCAATGAAGGTCACTTACACAAAGTCACAACCAGTTGCATAGTTCTCATCTTTGCCAGTTTTCCTTCTTTCATCATAAAAAAATTCATTGCTCTCATATGCTAATCTTTCTTTGTCACTTTCCTATTATATCCTTCACCACTTCCCTTTGACTTTTCGTTTTCTTCTGTTGAACATAGCATAGTGATTGCATAGCACCGTCTGCTTCTAAATCCAGCTCCTGTGTCCATGGACCATAGATAAATTACCCAACTGCTCTCATCCTCAGCTTCTTCCTCTGTAAACTGGTGATGACAGTACCTCCTGCACAAGAGGCTGAGATGAGAGAGTGCACAGAGAGCATGCAGTACAGCGACTGGTGCATAGAAAGCGCCCAACAAACATTTGTGACATCCCAGGGACCTTGTCCAGACACGCAGGCTCCCTCCCATGTGTTGCATTCTTCTGTGCCATCAGCAAGGGCTACCACCAGATGGCACTCTGCCCCCTCTGGTGCCCCATGTACCCAGACCGCTTACTTCCCACTCAGCTCAGCCAAGAACCAGCTGCTGTCCCATAATCAGCTCTCCACGGCTATCTTTACAGGAGAAGCAAAGAACTTTTTTCATCTACCACCTGGACCTTTTTTTTCTGATGAGGTTTTATTACTTGCAGAGGGGTGGGGTGCCATCCTTCTTGGCTGCTGCCGTCCTGATGGCTGCAAGGACATTGCTCTCTTCTGGGCATGGGTGTGTGTCCCCACTCTTTTCTGAATGAATTTCAGGGCCCTCTTGTCCTTAGAGACCTGGACTGGCTCCATGGCCTGTGGCTCATAGGGGAGAAAACTACACACCTCTCAGATCACCTCCCTCATGATCTTGGCGTGCTTGGTGAGGCTTGCTCATGTTCTCGGTCACCTCGGGGCTCTTGGTGAGGCCCAAGGCTGTGGGGCCGCACAGAGCGGGGCTGCTGCTCCTCCATGGCTGCCGCGGCGGAACCAGCCTGCACCTTTGGGGCTTTGGTCATATTAGATTAGCATCTCAGAGCTGAAGAGGCTCAGTGATTATAGGCTGTAATCCTCAGATTTCTCAAACAAGGAAAGGATAACAAGATAGTCCTGTGTAATGAGCATCTACAGACCTGCCTCCTTACAAGTCAGCTCTGCCCTAGGGCCACCTCACTCTGTCCGGCTTCTTCTCTGTACAACCCGAGAGCTTAGCAGACCCTCCCTCTTTCCCTGTTAACTCAATAAGGTCAAGTAGCTTGTCTTTACAAATACAGCTATAGGCAGGATTTTTAAATTTTTTATTATTACTTTTAAAGATTTTATTTATTTACTTTTAGAGAGAGGGAAGAGAGTGCGAAAGAAAAGGAGAGAAACCTGGGAGAGATACATTGATTGGTTGCCTCTCACACACCCGCAACCGTGGACCTGGCCCACAACCCAGTCACGTGCCCTGACTGGGAATCGAACCAGTGACCTTTCGATTCACAGGCTGGTGCTCAATCCACTGAGCCACACCAGGCAGGGCTAGGTAGGATTTTTTTAAAACTACTTATTGAACAGTTACTATGTATCAGACACTATATGAGAGCTTTCCAGAACTGCCTCATGTAACCTTTACCACAACCCTGTAAGGTAGACATAAGTATCCCATCTGTGGCTAAGGAAACTGAAATTTTGAGAAGGCTAGAAACTTGTCCACTATTACAGAGAGTAAGCGGTGGGAGCCACTATTCGAATCTGTCAGGATTTCAAGGCTGTCTCATTAGCCAGCGTGTCATAGGGTCTCGTGCTGAGCTTATAACCTGTGTTCATAACCTGCCCCTTTTAACACAAGGATCAGAGTAAAGAATTTTTTAAATCCTTTTTTTCTAGAGAGTTTCCGATTCTCCTCTCCCACTCCCTCCACTCCCATTTCCTGCACATTATAAATGACTTCCAGGAAGAGGCAGGAAGCAAAGGGTAACTCTTCCATTTGCAGCCCATGCCCTGGTCCCTGTTTCCCAACAACATATTCTCTTTCCCTTTCTTCTTGCGATGCCCCCTGTTCCTCATCTTCCCTAAAACCCAATGACGGTTAAGCAGCTGCATGCAGGAGTCTTGCATTAAAGGAAGTCTGTTCAGTGCCAAATGCAACCAACTCCAAATCTTCTAGCTTAACATACTCTGCTTCAAAGTATTTCAAGTCCTTTGTCATATAGCCTTTACACAAATTAACATAACCCATTAGTGTATCAAATATAGTTCAAGGGAGAGGAAAATCTGTCTTTTGGATACTATTCACAGATACTATAACAACTAAGATTTCATCTGCTCATCACAGTAGAGTCTCTCTTCTAATTTTAAAGCAGAGATCCACCTGGCTGGGTGAAGAGAAAAGAAAAAGATCATTGACTAGAGGTTTTCATGTTACAATTAAGACTCTCTCAGATGCCTCCCAGAGTCCAGGGCTCTCCCCTTTGGTTTCCCCACAGCCTTCCAGATGTCACGGTCCTTTCATTTGCCTCTGTCCTTCCCCCATTTTGTTCGTTCTCCCTCTCTCTCCACCCCCATCCCCTCTGTCTCTCTCTCCTAGTTCCCTGTGTTACTATAGGAGATAGTAATGCCAGCGCCATGGGCTCTGACTTCCCCTGCTTTAGGGAACTAGCAGAAAAGCTGGCTGTGGATTTTTCTGGAAGGGGCAAGAATAACCCCATGGAGAGCCCTCTTAGTGGCAGTTTTTTTAACTCCCAGCTGGCTTCAGCGGCTGGTACTGTTCCAAGGACTTGAAAGGCGAGGATGCCTCAGGGGAGTGTGGTTGGAACACGGAGCCGCTCCCTCTGTCTGTGCTTCCTGGGATGGTCCACGGCTCCCGCACCCCAGCCCACCCCAGCTTGTCTGTCGTTCAGTACCAGCTTTGCATCTGTGTGCCCCGCTGGAGGGAAAGTGGCAGTGTATTCCTGGAAATGATGCATTAATGCACACGGACATTTGGAACCTAAGAATCCACACGAATGATCAATGTCATCTCTCCCATCTATATGTCTGAATGATTATGAAAGAATGTTTAGTTCCAAGGGCCTGAGGCCGAAGCATGCCTGAGCATGACACCTGTGATTCACACAGTCAGCATCTGACAGATTGTTATGGCACCACAGTTCTTGTCCGAGGCAACGTTATTGGTGAAATCATGGTTTGAGGTGTAGATAATGTTTTTTTCTAATGCATGTAAAATAAATGGATATTAAGTTCCTCCAGACACACCCTATGTATCACCAGTGACTGTGCAGTACTTTTAGGGGAATATTGGCCAAGCCCATGTGCCACCAGCAGGGCTGCTCCGGGTCATTGCTGTGATCATTCTCCTCAGTCCCCAGCCCTCAGAACCTGCAACTCTGGTGAAACCGGGTCCAAACAGGTCTTCCCCGATTTCAACTGCAGGAAGTCGGAAACTGACTCCTCCACTCTCCTAGCTTCTTCTTCTTTTCTTCCAGGTTGATTTCCAACTCAAGAGAAGCACCCCTCAAGTAACTGAGTCCCCAAAACAGCACCTGGAGGCAGAGTCTGACCAAAGCAAGTACAGCCCTGGGTAGCCAGGTGAAAAGACAAGGAAATGGCAGCAGCAGAGTCGACAGCAATTCACGGCAGCCCAGGGAACACTTCGGAAAGGCTTTGGTCCTGCTCTCTGGTCAGATGAAGCTTTCTTTCTATTTTACTATCTGGGACATATTTAAATATAGACACATTCAGAACAATTCAGAATGGTCTCCATCTATTCCAGGGGTCAGCCCTCTCTGATAAAGTGGTACATAGCTTCAGCAGTGCTACAATTTTCTGATTGTGGGGAAACGGTGTAGGTGCTGAAGGCTCCATGCCAGTCCGAGCTGCATCCAGAGACTGCCTCCGACCAGCTGGCCACTCTGATGCCAATAGTCCAGCACAGAGTCTGAAATGCCATAGGTACTCAAGGAAGATTTCTGAATGAACAGCTGAAGTGCAGAGGTGACTCATTACTGACGTTGTCCCCATAGCAAGACCAGGTGACCACATTTGAAGTCCCAGAGGACCCTTTCAACAATAGCCAGTAGTTTCTTGATAAGAAAAGGCTTTCACACACAAACACGTAGTCCCACTGTTACCCATTTTTGTACATGGGCATTTTAAACAGCATGTGCCTTTTAACCCATTTTCTAGGTACGTAAGTGTAATGCAAATGCTCCCGTGGAATGCCTCTGCCCCACTCCATGTCAGCGATACACAGCGCCCTTGCTCAGTTCCCCAGAATGAACTCATTTGTTCTAAAAGTGTTAATGAGCACAGCACATGTTACTAACGGTTGTGAAGGGGTGTTTTACATCACACACCACAAAAATTCATAACCCCCTACTGGGGATGTTGGGGTTCCCAAGCCCCCTGTTCCCAGGGCTTGGTAGGGGTTTTTACCACACACCCTGTTTCAGGGCTTAGCCTCAGATAGGGTGGGATCCAGTTCCCCCTCTCGCTCTCACCTCCCCCAGCGCCCCAACCTCTAACTAACCCAGTCCTTTCCTAACATTGAGCAATTTAGCCTCTCTCAACAAATAGCCCTACCCATCGGAAAGCAGGTGCTCCACCAAGACAGCCTGCCCTCTGCGGGCAGCCGCCCAAGATTAGGATTAACACATGATTGATTTTTCTGTTACCTGAACAATCTGTCCAACTGTGGTCGAAAGGAAAGCAGATAGAAACATGTATTTCCCCCATTTGGAAAGGGTATTTTCTCCTGAGATAATTAACCCTTTCTCTACATTTTTTTTTCTTCCTTCCTAATTTGAATCCCATATTCCTTGATTCCTTTCTTCTTGTTACAAAGAAGCAGCTACTTGAGTGGGCTGTTTATAGTTCAGTGAAACTATCTGCCTAAGGCTGCCAGATACATTCGATTTTTCCAGATTGTCTGACTATCACTTATCTGTTTTCAGATCCCCTGGTACATAGTCACTTAGCAGAGCTAGTGCTTGCAAAGTATGGTCTGAGTGCTTTCCCTGGCACAGCCTCATTCATTCATCCATTCATTCCTACATTCTTCCATGGGACACTTACTGAGTCCTTGCTCTCAATAAATGCAGAGAATACAAAGAAAAGTAGATACAGCCAGTGATCTCAGGGCAGCTAGGGTCTATTTGGGAGGACAAATAGGTGGTTACACTCACTGTCGTAATTGCTATGATTCAGTAAACTCTGGGCGCGGAGGGGGGACAGGGAGCTCTTGGAAGGGCCCTGCTATCAGCTTGGGAAGACCAGGAAAGGCCTCTCAGAGCTAGTGAAGTCGAAGATGGGATACAGGAGGTCAGATAAAGAGGCTGTGGCCAGGTGGAAGGAAACAGGGGAGCAAGGGTTTGGCCGAGGAGACTGCAGGAGCAAGAGGTCTGCGCCTCCAAGGGCACGTGGGGCACTCAGGGCACTGAGGGGGAACTGAGCACTCAGGGCACTGAGGGGGAACTGAGCACGGCAGAAGGGAGTGACTGGGGGGAGCTGAGTGAGGCTCAGAACGCTGAGGCCGGTTCGCTAGGGAAGGACGTTTGAACCGTATTACAGAGTCTGGACTTTATCCCGAGAAGAACAAGGGGCCGTTAAAGGGTTCTCCCGAGGGGAGTGGCAGACTCAGATTTAGAATGAGCACCGTGGCTGCGGCCCGAAGAGCAGACTGGAGCGGGACCAGACAGAGTCCGTGAAGAGACTGCTGAAAGCCAGGTGAGAAGGTGGCCTGAAACCAGGCAGGACAGCACAGACGGGAAAACGCTAGGCAGCCCCTTCCTGGCAGCCCCCTAGGGCTTCCCTGCCCTGTGCAAGTCTTCCAGTCTCTCACTCAGGCGCCCCCTGCCGGCCCCCGAGGGTGTTAAGGACTAAAGGAGAGGCGGGTTTTCAACCAAACCCTAAAGCTATCCTGAGTAAAATTCACTCACGTTGGACGTGATTGTATAGGCAGAATATTATGTGGAAAATACAGGCTCTGGCCGTGACCATATAAGAATTTCTCATAGCACACTGAGGAAGAATGTGAACTCACAGTTGGGGGTGGGGGGAGGGCAGGATCCGAAGGGCACAAAGGAAGGTCCTCCAGCTTTAGTTCAGCGTTTTCCTGGCCATTGCCCTTTCTAGTTTATACCTAGGGTTTTATTTTAAAGAGGAAATTTTTGCACAGTTGCCAGCCTAAATAAATGGTGTTTCCTAAGGGATCAGAACACTATACTTAAGGGCATGGGTTTTAGACTCTGACAGACCTGGTTTTTAATCCTAGCTCTTTGTTTGCTGAATGACCTTGAAGAAGTAACTTACCTTCTCCTAGTCACAGTTACTCACATCTGGGAAAAAAAAAATTAAAGGTAATATCTACCTCCCTTGGAGTTTGTGGGGACTGAAGATAATACTCTTCTAAGTCAGTAATGAGGGGAGCACAGCTCTGCCTCAGACCCTCTCAGAGGACTATCACTTGTCCAGGTGGCTGATGGCAAGGCTGACAGGGACACCAAGGACTTTGAGGTGCAAAGGGGAGTTTGGAAGTAAGGGACCTGAGGGGCTGAACCAAGCCCACCCTCCCTTTTTAAAAAAATCTCATGTCCTGGATGGTTCTTATTAGTTCCTTATTCTTTCTGGCATTTTTCCTTCTAAACTAAAGATTCCATAACATAGTAATTCTTCTCCTCATATGAATAGAGAGGAAAGAATTTCTAGTTTTCAGATAGGATAATACATAATAACTTCTGGACCTGGTTCTGGTTCCCAAAGAGGTTTCTGCTCCGATAAACTGTAACTACACTATCTTTCCATTTTAGCAAAAAGATACTCAGCACTCAGAACAACACCTGGCATATATAAACTCATCACACATATTAGCTGAGTGAATGATCTCCAGGATTATTTTCACATTTTCCCTCTTCTTGTTTCCTCTTGCACTATTTTTCTTTTATCTAATACAAATAGCTTTGAGCATCTTTTTAAAAATTATTGCAAACTATGGTAGGCAGAATTACAAAGTGCCTCCCAATGGCCCTTGCCCAGTTAGTCCCTTCCCTCGAAGGGGCCGAGCCTGGGACAAGATGCGATATCCCTCCTGTGACTATGCTGCGGATGCAATCAAGGCGTCACGTCAGTGGATTCTGAGTTAATCAAAAGGGAGGTTATGGTGGGTGGGCCTGACCTAATCAGACGAATTCTTCATAAACAGAGAGTTTCTCTGGTGGCCTTGAAGGAAGAAAGCAGATGGCTAGGTTGTGAACTACCTATGAAGAGGAGCAGCCCCTAGGACCTGAGAATGGTCCCTACCAATGGCCAGCAAGAAAAATGGGGACCACTGTCATATGCCACAAGGCAATGAATTGTGCCAACAGTCAGAATCAACTCAGCCTGCACCTGAGTGCAGCCCATGAGAGCAGGGGCCCAGCTAAACGGCGCCCTGACTCTTGACCAACAGAGAAACTTCGAGGTAATACTTTTGTGCTGCTTTAAGCCTCTATATTTGGGTTAATTTGTTATGCAGCAATAGAAAATAGACATATAAACTATCCCAAATATTCTTGTCAATTGGGTGGGAGATAAATAAATAAAACCCAAGTAACCAGCTGTGACCATTGTAGTGCGTCACAGAGCTGCCACGTTCCTGCCTCGAGCGAGTATATGTTTAAAAAGGGCACAGAAAAAAATGAAACATAGAACTCTTTTTAAATAAGACGGCTGGTGTAGTCAACTTTACCCAGCAGGTAACAGTGACAACATTTTCTTTCTCTAAGGAACGTGTGTCTCTGACAGCAAGGGGTTCAGCCTTCGGATAACTGCAGTATCTTGCCTCAAATAATTCCCATTATTTGCACCAAATCACGTGTACCTGGGGCTGTGGACGGGCACCATCAGCACAAGTACTAAAATGAGAAAATGCAGAGCCTAAGGCTCTTCTCCCTCTCCCAAAGGATCAAAATCAGTAAACAGTGTGTAACATCCCAGCCTCTTCTATCCACCTTCAGGACACTTGTAAGGAAAAGCAGTACAGGAGCCCGCTTGAAGAGCCAAACACAGTTCCCCACAGTTTGAAATGGTATTGTAACAATAATAAGGTCCCAATGCAACAGTCTCACATTTTTACCTGTTAAGATCCAGGGTATGAATTCACAGCAGCTTGTGTATTGGTTCATTTGTCTAACAAATAGCCGGGTCCTATTTCTGAATCAAGTGCTGTGTTAAGAGCTGGGAGACAGTGGTAAACCAAAGAAATGAAGTCTCTATGTCTTTGGAGGGGGAGGGATATAGAGAGAGGTAAATAATAAAATGAAGTGATCAACAAATACATAAAAAGAACTAGTATCTGAGAAGCAGTACAGAGAGAGGAAAAGCCAGGGGATCTACTTGAGAGAGGATGGTTGAGGAAGATTTCTTTGAAGAAATGACATTTGGGCTGAGATGTAAAGGATGAGAACAAGGAAGGCTTGCAAAGAGTAGGAATAAAACTTCCAGGCAAGGGCTGGGTGGGTGGGTTGGGATGGGAGTAAAAGATAGAAAATTGTACTGCAACAACAATTAAAATTTTAAACAAAGTTCCAGGCAGAAGGAATAGCAAGCTCAAGTAATCTGTGGAGGGAAAGAGACTGGCTGGTTCTAGCAGCTGCATCTCTTGGGTCTAAGGGTGTGTGTGTGTGTGTGTGTGTGTGTGCACGCACTAAGCTTCATGATTTATGATCTAACATGCCAGAAGCCTAACCCAGCATAGGTCCAAGAATCAGGATAACATC